AGCCCCAGGCCCTGGGAAGGCAGATGCTGTCCCTCACCTGTGGCTCAGGGCTCTTCTTGTAGACAGTTGGATGTGAGGGTGAGCAATGACAAGTGTAGGAAAATTTTGCAAAACCTCCCAGCATCCCTAAGAAGGCGCGAGGATGAAACACACTTCAGAGCTTCAAAGAAAGTTTCTCCTGGTAGGCCTTGATGGTAGAGGCAACTGCCATAGCAAAGGGCCCACAGCCTTTGGTCCTGTTGAAGCTTTTCGCCCTGTCAGAGTCCTTAGCCATCTTGACTGCGAGCTGTCCTACACTGTCCCATGCCTGCACTTCTTTCCCTTCAGCCTGTAGTCACACATCTTTACTTCCTACCCAGCACTCACATCAGCGTTTCTGCACCTTCACTGATGTCTGTCCACGCTCACTGGTATTTCCTTCAAATTCAAATCCATGGGCTGAATCAGATTCCCTTTGGGTGACACCCACAAATCCATGGGCACTTATGGAATGCACCCATGAGTGCTGAGGGAGCTGGCAGATGTCATTGCTGAGCCACTCACCATCATCTCTGAAATCCTGGAAAACAGGAGAGGTACTCGAGGACTGGAGAAAATCCAGTGTCACTCCAGTCTTCATAAAGAGCAAGAAAGAGTATCTAGGGAACCACAGGCTGGTCAACAATCCCTCTGTCTTAGGAAAGATGATGGAGCAACACATTCCTGAGATTGTCATCATCAAGCAAGTGGAGGAAAAGAAGGTTATCAGGAGTAGTCAACATTGATTCACCAAGGCGAAACCATGCTTGACCAATCTGATAGCTCTCACAAAATCACAGATTGATAGGGGATGGAAGGGACCTCTGTGGGTCATCTAGTCCAACTCCCCTGCCAAAGCAGGGTGACCTACAGCAGACTGCACAGCACCGCATCCAGGTGGGTCTCGAATATCTCCAGAGAACGAGACTCCACAACCTCCCTGCACAACCTGTTCCAGGGCTCCATCAACCTCAGAGGGAAGAAGTTCTTCCTCATGTTCAGACGGAACTTCCTCTGCTTCAGTTTTTGCCCGTTGCCCCTTGTCTTGTCACTGAGCACCACAGAACAGAGTCTGGCCCCATCCTCTTGACACCCACCCTTAAGATATTTATAGGCATTTATTAGGTCCTCTCTCAGCCTTCTCTTCTTCAGGCTGAACAAGCCCAGCTCCCTCAGCCTCTCCTCTTAGGGGAGAAATGCTCCAGTCCCCTCATCATCCTCCTCCTAGCTGTCCGTTGGACTAGCTGTCCATTGGACATTCTCCAGTAGCTCCTCATCTTTTCTGAGATCAGCTTCACCTCCACCACAGGCCGTCAGGACTGCAGAGA